TATAAAAAATAGTACAACTCTTTCTAGGTTTAGAAGGTTATCTAAAACGTACCTACTTGAAAGACTGACATAGTTTTTATTTGCATCTTAGTATTTTCTTATTCTGAAATGTTTTTTGACCACTAAGGACCTACTTGTCAGTGTGTGTGTGTGTGTGTGTGGGTGTGTGCGTGTGTGTGTGAGAGAGTATTTGTATGTTCTATATTCTGTAGCTTAGTATTTTCATCCATTGTATAATCATACACATGTACGTAACATTCTTTTTACTGTAAATGTATGTACTTTGTTGACTGTAGGGCCCCGCTCACAAGCTTAGCTTCTAAAGGGGTCCTAAAACCATTCAGTTTATTATGTAATCAAGTTAGAATATGTTGATTGATGTACTATTACCAGTCTCTTTATTATGTAACAGATTATATCATGCTTTGTGTGGTTTTGAATAAAATGAACTGAACTGAACTGGAACGAGCAAGAAAACAGATCATTAAAAGGGATTAAGCGACAAATAATGATTGTGATTCAAATATTTGTTTGAATAAGCACTGCTATTCACCAGAATCTTCTTTATAAAAACAACTTTTACAAATCTCAGCCATGCTTACTGAGTTGAGACGTTCCATTCAATTTAAAATACTCATTGAAGAAATACACTTCTCCTAATGTGAAAGTGATCTTACAACACAGTGGCAGAATTGCATGGCTGAGATTTTTAAAAGTCGTTTTTACAAAGAAGATTCTGGTGAAAAGCATTGCTTAATATTAAAAAAAAAATCCTTGCATCAATTTGAATCACAATGATCGTTTTGTCCCATGATCCTTTTATTAAATAACCTTGTTTTCTTTTTTGTTTGCAGGGGGAGAAGAAACTATGTCACGTTAAGAAATCACAAAGATCAGTTGTATTATGCGTATATACATATGATAACAGAACAAAATGTTGATTATCAGAATGTCATTTTGGAATACCTCTATACAAATACCCGATCTTACTGTGCCGATACCACATTGTATTTAGCCCGTATCAGTATTAGTATGAGCCAATTTAAAGTTATTATTCTTTATTCAGTTCAGTATAATGCTTTTCCTCAAAAATTGTTCCGCTATTTTTTTAGGGTTGAGACGCTAAGAAATGGTTTCAAACGTACATTACACAAACCCTGAACCATTGCATAATGATGGTGGTTCTCTCTCTCTCTCTCTCTCTATTTATTGTAATCATGCATTATCATCTACATATAAAGCAGCAACACAAAACTTAGGGTTATCTGGGATAGGTGAAAGTGAGAGTTAAAAAAAAATAAAAAATTAGTGGTCCTCCTCTCCAGCATCCCCCCACCGCTTTAATATTCACCGGTCGCCTGAGTCTGCTCAAAAATGTTAAACCCCCTAACCCCCCCCCGTAGATCTGCCCATGTTACCATATCATTCAACAACATCTTGGTCTTCCTCTTCTTCCCAATAGGGACTTTTAGATTTGCGTGGACGTGTTACGTCCTTTTAAGGCACTGGCAGTCACAATCATGTGACGTCCTTTTAAGCACTGGCAGTGCCTTAAAAGGAGGTCACACGTTGCAGTCCACGTTCTCGTCGTGCAAATCTAAAAGTCCCTAATTTTGGTTTACTGGTCGAGGTTCACTATTTGCTGGTCATTTGAAATCACCAGATTTCAGCGGGTATACGCTTTTCACGACGAAAAACTTCTCTATGACCATGTTTCTGCCCTTGCGCGATCGCCTCCAGCTCCAGCAGATATGGGGCGGCAGCGTGAACACGTACCGTTACTAACGGCGCAGTAGGCCTATAACCACTGCTGACTGCAGCACTGCACTGCGAGCTGAATCGTTAATAAATACTCATATAGAACGAGAAATCTTGCACGCTAATCTAAGTTCCATTTCATTGGTTTAAGGTTTGAAAATTGAAACTCAATATTGTGTTAAAGTTATAACAGAAAAGATAATCTTTATTTTATAATTCCACGGGGGCGATTTTAAATTTTGCAATCGCCCCCGTGTATTTTGAGCGCTGCTAATGGGACTACTCCGAGTATGCATGGTTGCTACTCCGAGTTTCACGCCTTGCAAGCGATCATCAGACAACTGATAGCATTCTTCAAAGTACATGATTCCTCTGCACCCTTGGTACAAATACACTCAAAATAAGACTTAACTAATACAATACCTGAATAAAATATAATAAGAATTACTCATGAGTAATTCTAATTGTATTTTATTAGTTAAGTCTTATTTTAGGGGTATTTGTACCAAGGTTGTATAAGATAATCATGTACTTTTAAGAATGCTATCAATAATTGCCTGATGATTGCTTGCAAGGCGCGAAACTCGGAACAGAAACAATGTCCCATTAGTCTGCCTGCTCTGCCTAGGCATTGACCACTGTTCAGAAGGATATATAGCAAAGCATAATATAAGAGGAAGGGGAGAGCAGCCGGGTCACCGTGCCCCAGAAGAAGAATACCCCCCCCCCCCTCGTCTTCCTTCGGCAATAATCGGGCAAAAAGTCACAATTTGGGACCGAAAGGTAAATAAATTTTAACTGGGAAAGTAGAAAATAAAGCAGCGGTGAAATAACGACTGCAAAATATCCCTCGCTGTTCTTTTTCGATAAGCCTAATATATGGCCCGGGTGTAACCTTAACAAACTTGCCACATGATTTTGTTTTTATTTTATACCTCTAACATTTATACCTCTGACATTTTTACCTCTGACATTTTTACCTCTGACATTTTTACCTCTGACATTTTTACCTCTGACATTTTTTCCTCTGACATTTTTACCTCTGACATTTTTACCTCTGACATTTTTACCTCTGACATTTTTTCCTCTGACATTTTTACCTCTGACATTTTTACCTCTGACATTTTTACCTCTGACATTTTTTCCTCTGACATTTTTTCCTCTGACATTTTTACCTCTGACATTTTTACCTCTGACATTTTCTCCTCTGACATTTTTTCCTCTGACATTTTTACCTCTGACATTTTTACCTCTGACATTTTTACCTCTGACATTTTTTCCTCTGACATTTTTTCCTCTGACATTTTTACCTCTGACATTTTTACACCGAGCCGGTACCCCAGTTATGACACTTAACCTGAAATCGTGATCTTTGGATATTTCTTACTCAAATTTGCCAAGATGAGCCTATAGTGTGTGTCAAAACCAAAGACTAATGCGCTGCTCAGTTTGGGTTGACGTCCCAGCACCTGTGTTACAATAAAAAGGGACTTTTAGATTTACACGACGAGAGCGTGGGCCGTGCCCGGTAGTGCCTTAAAAGGACGTCACATTATCTTAAATGGATGTCACACGTGGCAGTCCACGTTCTCGTCGTGTAAATCTGAAAGTCCCTAATGTAGCCCAGGAATTGATTCAGGGTTGCCCAATGGAAGAGGAGTTTCAAGGGTATTTATTTTCCCGACATTGTTAATTTTACTTCTTCCCAGGAACATAACCTCTGAAAACCTGCCACCGCCTAGTCTGGGTCTCGGAGTCAGTATGGAAGGCGTGCATGAGATTGGTTATGAACAAGCAAATTTGTATATAATAAAAAGAAATATCCCATAGTGTTCTCCTCCTCCTTTGTAACAAAAAAAAACAACAAAGAGGGGGGGGGGGGGGCGGGTCCATCGCCCCCCGTATATCCGCGCCTGAGTGACACCCACACAACTAACCTTATTTATTACAGAACAAAAAATGAAGAAAGAGCCCCTCGACACCATAGGTGTAAGTATTCAGCCAGTTCCTACCCCCCACCAATATAAACTTTAAAAGTGATTTTTTTTTCTTTCTAATTTGATACCAGTGATATACAGATGTTGCTGAAATGGCCTAATTTTCCGGGATTTTTCCTCGCTTTTTAGTAAATTATACTTTTTATGCGTTTGTTGGAGAATGACATATATCACAATTTACAGTCAGGCAAGAAAATGTGCTTATTTACTATTTAGAGGCCGACATGTCAGGTCCCGCGGAACGGCGGGCTTGGGGGCTCAAGCCCCCCCTCCCCACCCCCACACTTTTGAAAAAGTATATTAAAGAGAATTAAATAGAAAGAAATGGAAAAGAAAGTATGCTCATGTAACCGTAATTAAATGCCCATACCCCTGAGCTAATTCCGGGGGCTCTGCCCCCTGGACCCCATCTTGGGCCCTAAGGCTGGCCCCTGGATGCTAATCTGACCTTAATTGTAATGCCTAAAACCCCTGCGCCTCCGGGGGCTCCGCCCCTTGGACCATACGCCAATTGGTGACCTGCCAGTGTCATGAATATGGTATTAAAATATGCTCATCTGACCGTAAGTACGAAGCCACGTACAATCGATTACAACAGTAATTGTGGGGCCAATATCACGAGTATGCCTTCATAGAATAAATGTTTTAAAGAAAATATTCACTTCTACTTTCAAAAGGACTGGCCCATTTGCTTTAAAAAATTGTAGAGAGTTATTATTATATAATTTCTAGAAAAAATGCCAACCACATTATTTACAATGAGTCTAAATACATTGATTTGCCGAGTTTCTTCCTTTTATCAAATATACACGTAAAACAATGGGGGGGGGGGGGGACAGACTGCGCGAGCAGAAAACCCGCATATTATGTCCGACGGACAAACGAAACTGGTAGGACAAACGGAGCAGTCACACCGGCACCTGAAGGTTCTCAACTATAGTCTGCAAGCACAGACCCTAATTTGACACTTTATCAAAAAATCATTGTGCCTTGAGAGAAGCCTAGCCCAACTACCTACTGGTTGTGTCATGAGCTTGCAGCTTGCAGCTTGCAGCTGTTTGTGCTTGCAGCTACAGTGCATGGCCTATGGTAGTCTTATAATGCAGACTCCATTTTACGACTGACCAGGGTTTGTGCTTGCAGACTAGTTCTTAACAGCTATCCCTAACCTTCTAAGTATTTGTTCCTGGCTTGTATACATTGTAACATTAACACATTCTTTCAAATTATTATTGACTTCCTCAGGTCTGACTCTCTTCGCAGCAGATCATGGTAGCTGCCGCTGATGGTGATCATTCACGAGATCGTTGGGTTATAAGGGGACGTCAACATGGTGGCTGTCAATGCTCGTGATCGTCCACGTTCGTTGACGACCGTCTTCAAAATCGAACGGTTCATCGCCCTCGTCTTCGCCGGCCTCGAGATCATAATCCACGCTGGGGCCATCTGGGGTTGGCCTTCCTACGTCTACGTTCTCAAGCAGGATGGATTCTTCGGTGACCTGTGCCACACTAACAATGATCCCGCAGGGTATTCGCAGAACTCTTCTCTGGAGAAATCAATTGTAACTGTCATTGATATTGATTTACCATCGCCCTCCGGTGTACCGCAGGGCGTGGGTTGCTATGACCAAGATGCCATGATACAACTGGTTTTCACAGTTTCCATGGGAACGAATCTTGTCTGCTCCTGCTGGCTATCGAACATCATCGACAGATTTGGAATACGGTTTGCAAGAATATTCATATTGTAAGTTATTTATAGTTTTCTCCTTACTGTTCTATATCCTTACAAAAATAAAATATCATTTCTATGAAGAAAAAAAAGAGTTTTGAAGATCGTTGCATCTGAATTAAAGGTATACATTACAAAGTGTATTATCATATTTATTTTTCACCTATCAAGGCATTCTTAGATTTTCCTTCATACACTATGCCATAACCAAGAAATTGAGAAAACTCTGTAACACGTTCTCACTTTCTTATTTCTTGACCATTTTACCAGATAAGAAGTAAATATACCTATTCTTAGGATGGTCAGGGCCCAAGCGAGGCACCCTTGTTTTAAGAGAAAAGAATAGGAATGGGGTTTATCGGTTTTATTTTTCAAGCATGAAGTATCTCCAAAAGTGACCTTCTGTGATGATGCCCCCTTTGTCGTGATATTCTTCCTCCCTTTTCACCGATATGTCTTTGTTTCTTTTGGTTTGTTTTCCTGTCAGCGTTGGCTGTTTAGTGAGTTATATTCTATTTGCAGTAGCCACGCCTGAGACCGCGTACATGTTATTCCCAGCTATGACTATCTTGACGTCATGCGGCACTTTACTACTCACTGTTAACTTACAGGTAAACTTGATCAATGTACTAAAGGATTAGATCTCATTTGATATTCATGGCATGACCTCTAAAACGACACATTCCTTTTTGGTCAAAAGAAATACGGGCAGGCTCAAGGTATTTGGTCAAGTGGTGTCCCATACGATACCGTAGGTAAAAATACATCAGAAGTATGATTTTGCTTTAACTTTGGTCTGATCAGTCCTCTAGCAGGACTATCAACTTTCAAAATTAATCAGAAACTGCAATATTTGTAGTTTTAACATATGGGACAAAACGTATTTTACCTGCCCTGTTGCCCACAAATCAAATAGGCTATGAAGTCCAATATGTTGCTCTGGCAAAATCGAAGCCAGAGCACACGTCGTAGATCCTACGAAAAACGTTCATTGTAAACTCTAATTGTGCCAGAATAATGAGTAAATCATGTTCTCAATGTTTAATCATTATTTCCTTAAGTTACCGAAACCTTTGAAACTGTTGATATGTGGATTCGCCAATTGATTTTAATTGTATTTGTTAGGGTGTGTTGCATCTATGACTGATGCTGTTGTTCTATAATCCATCGATCGGTCTTTTGTGTTGGCACTTCATTACCTGAGAAACATTGGTAGTTTGCAAGAGATTTTATATTTAGTTATTTACTTTTGTCTGGTATACAAATCCGGCACTTTTTTTTTTATTAAAATGGCTTGTGTTATTGACGTCTACCCTTTTCACACAGGTCGGTAATCTTTTTGGTCGAGGTAAAGCTACCGTGATGTCATGGTTAAATGGATGCCTCAGTACATCAGTCATCGTATTCTATCTCGTTAAGGTAAGGTGGCGCTCTATATTCTTACGGTTTACCGTGTCAGATGTGGACGTAGTTCTATATTTGTGAATGACGCTTCCGGTTGTATTTAAATGCATTTAGTAATGATGTATATAATTCTTTCAGCGATTCGTACCAGGGTACTTGAAACCCTAGCCAAATGGTTTCCATTTACGTTCATTGTACATTCTGAAACATATTTACGCAGAGAGTTTCATCCGAAAGGTGGTCGGCCGGATCACATCATTATATCGATACTATCATGACTGTTACTATCACATTTCGTTATTATCCCTCTTTGGTTGTTATCTCAGGTCGCTCATGAGTCGGGCATACCAGCTCGATACTCATTTATCTTCCTGGCCGGATCAACCCTCTTGATGCTCATCAACACCATCATGATGCCCAAGAAACGTATCCCATGGCCCCTCCCGGAAGGATACCGGCTCTTGACTTCCCGGAAGGAGTCTCTGCCGTCAAACAATGCGGAGGTCAGCCAATCGCCAGAGTCGAAGCCCCTGAGAGACGACACCGATCCAGGAGATACTGACGTGATCGAGAAAAGATGCCCAGAGGATGAGATAAAGACTCACACACATTTTAATGGTACTGTAATAACCTTCAATTTCTCAATTTTCAATTTCAATTTATTTGCTCATAAAAATCCAGAAAACACATGCAAACATTCATAAATCAACATGATACAAAGGGTAAAATTCACAAGACAAAATAATAACAAAGTATACATTTGGATTAAGTATGAGAGGACGCTACAAAAAATAACAAATCACTTACAACAACATAAAGGGGGGGGGTATGCCTATACATTTAAACAAACAAACTTGGTGAATACCTGTCTAAAATAAAGTGCCTAGATTTTGACCTTGGGCCAAACCCTCGTTAGTGGGAGTGTCGTGGTCGAGTGGTTTAAGGCGCTTGACTGAAGATGCGAAAGTCGAGGGTTCGAATCCCGAGAATACAATCATGATTTTGGAACTAGGGGATTAACATGGACACAATGCACTTGTTAACATGACCACATTATCTCTTATTCATTCTACCTCCAATGTTTTCAGACTGTTTTCAAAACAATATCATGTTTGTCGATCATAGTTCTATGTAGCTTGATGTCTCATGGTAATTTAATCAATCTTAGCAACAATTTTTGAATTTTAGCGACAATCGTTCGCCATTGCTGCTCTTTAATACTATTATGACGTGCAGTAACAAATTGAAATTTCAGAACTCATGATAAATTCGTTTAACAGTTGATTCTACTTGGTTGATACTATTGTTCGGATTATTTAGCAGAACGAGATAGAAATTGACATTCTCATGTTTAACGACTTTGCGTTCGTAGTTGTTCATCGTCTCTACAATGCTATTTGAACAATATTTGGTGACAAAAGAAAAAAACAGTTGATTCTACTTGGTTGATAGAAATTGACATTCTCATGGCTAACGACTTTGCGTTCGTAGTTGTTCATCGTCTCTACAATGCTATTTGAACAATATTTGGTGACAAAAGATGGCATTTCCATGTAGCGTCTAAAGCCGTCAAATAACAAAAACATTGCAGATAAAAAGATCCTCAGTACTGGGTCTAATAATTTAAAGAAAACTGAATTTGAACCCGGCCATATTCTGTCTCTCTCTCTCTCTCGCTCTCGTTTGTCATTGCCTTCATTTTCCTCGCTTACTTTATTCTTACCACGGAATATGTAATGTTTATGCACGTGTATGCCTCAATCATTGAGAATATACTCACTAATATCGCTGAAATGATTCTTCTCCTACCACTTTTTCTTCGTTTACTTCTTCTTAGTAGTTGTAGTAGTAATAATAGCAGCAGTATCATAATAATCATTATTATTATCATTGTGTTATTGTTATTATTCTTATAGTTATTTGTATGCTTCTTCTTCTTATCATTATTATCGTATACACAATATGTCATGTGCCAAGAATTTATTGCTTCGATACATCCCAGATGTCTACCAAAACTGTCAATTCGTTGCTGAAATATTATCAAGCCAAAAGAAGGAACATTAGAATTTCTATTTTAAATTGAAATAAATTATATAGGAGAAATCAATAGAGAATACAATCATGATTTTGGAACTAGGGGATTAACATGGACATAATGCACTTGTTTACATGACCACATTATCTCTTATTCATTCTACCTCCAATGTTTTCAGACTGTTTTCAAAACAATATCATGTTTGTCGATCATAGTTCTATGTAGCTTGATGTCTCATGGTAATTTAATCAATCTTAGCAACAATTTTTGAATTTTAGCGACAATCGTTCGCCATTGCTGCTCTTTAATACTATTATGACGTGCAGTAACAAATTGAAATTTCAGAACTCATGATAAATTCGTTTAACAGTTGATTCTACTTGGTTGATACTATTGTTCGGATTATTTAGCAGAACGAGATAGAAATTGACATTCTCATGTTTAACGACTTTGCGTTCGTAGTTGTTCATCGTCTCTACAATGCTATTTGAACAATATTTGGTGACAAAAGAAAAAAACAGTTGATTCTACTTGGTTGATAGAAATTGACATTCTCATGGCTAACGACTTTGCGTTCGTAGTTGTTCATCGTCTCTACAATGCTATTTGAACAATATTTGGTGACAAAAGATGGCATTTCCATGTAGCGTCTAAAGCCGTCAAATAACAAAAACATTGCAGATAAAAAGATCCTCAGTACTGGGTCTAATAATTTAAAGAAAACTGAATTTGAACCCGGCCATATTCTGTCTCTCTCTCTCTCTCGCTCTCGTTTGTCATTGCCTTCATTTTCCTCGCTTACTTTATTCTTACCACGGAATATGTAATGTTTATGCACGTGTATGCCTCAATCATTGAGAATATACTCACTAATATCGCTGAAATGATTCTTCTCCTACCACTTTTTCTTCGTTTACTTCTTCTTAGTAGTTGTAGTAGTAATAATAGCAGCAGTATCATAATAATCATTATTATTATCATTGTGTTATTGTTATTATTCTTATAGTTATTTGTATGCTTCTTCTTCTTATCATTATTATCGTATACACAATATGTCATGTGCCAAGAATTTATTGCTTCGATACATCCCAGATGTCTACCAAAACTGTCAATTCGTTGCTGAAATATTATCAAGCCAAAAGAAGGAACATTAGAATTTCTATTTTAAATTGAAATAAATTATATAGGAGAAATCAATAGAGAATACAATCATGATTTTGGAACTAGGGGATTAACATGGACATAATGCACTTGTTTACATGACCACATTATCTCTTATTCATTCTACCTCCAATGTTTTCAGACTGTTTTCAAAACAATATCATGTTTGTCGATCATAGTTCTATGTAGCTTGATGTCTCATGGTAATTTAATCAATCTTAGCAACAATTTTTGAATTTTAGCGACAATCGTTCGCCATTGCTGCTCTTTAATACTATTATGACGTACAGTAACAAATTGAAATTTCAGAACTCATGATAAATTCGTTTAACAGTTGATTCTACTTGGTTGATTCTATTGTTCGGATTATTTAGCAGAACGAGATAGAAATTGACATTCTCATGGCTAACGACTTTGCGTTCGTAGTTGTTCATCGTCTCTACAATGCTATTTGAACAATATTTGGTGACAAAAGAAAAAACAGTTGATTCTACTTGGTTGATAGAAATTGACATTCTCATGGCTAACAACTTTGCGTTCGTAGTTGTTCATCGTCTCTACAATGCTATTTGAACAATATTTGGTGACAAAAGATGGCATTTCCATGTAGCGTCTAAAGCCGTCAAATAACAAAAACATTGCAGATAAAAAGATCCTCAGTACTGGGTCTAATAATTTAAAGAAAACTGAATTTGAACCCGGCCATATTCTGTCTCTCTCTCTCTCTCTCCATCTCGCTCTCGTTTGTCATTGCCTTCATTTCCCCTCGCTTACTTCATTCTTGCCTCAATCATTGAGAATATACTCACTAACGTCGATATATATATATATGGATAGATCATAACGGGAGAAGCATTTTATATAACGATATGAAATCGTGAAAATGCATTCTTCATTGTGTAAATCATAAGCATACGTATCACCTAATTCGTCAAAGTGACGAATTAAAGTCTAGTTAGGTGATACGTAACGAGGTCTACGTTTCACCTTTTGATTCCGTCAAGATTTTTATTATCAGGTGGGCTTTATAACGTACAGACCACCTTATAATTTCGTTAGAATTGCCTTTATTATTTATTTATTTATTATATATTTTTCTTACTTCTAACCACTTTTTTGTTGGCAAGATAACTTGGAAATGGCTCAATCAAATGCCTTAAAATTGGCACACATATAGGCATATGTACAAAGCACAAGGGAAACTTTTTTTTTTTAGGTCTCGAAATTTGAAAATTTGACATTTTGTTCTGTTGTTGTTGAGGTCACCTTTTTTAGGTCAGCCATTGGCATTTTTATTTATTTATTTTTTTTTAAATTAAAAAAACAAAAACAAAAAACAAAATCACAGAAAGGGGGGGGGGGGTTGCTCCAAAATACACACATAAAAAACCGAAGGGGGGAGGGTCAACCCCCTAACCCCCTCCCCCCCCCCCTTCCGTACGTGCCTACTCGTCTCAAAATAGTTTTTCCCCTCCCGCGCAAAGCGCGGAAGCTTTTACGTTTCATTAAATCATTAGAGAAAGAAGGCGATTCGTTGTACCGTTCTCGACTCTTAATCCTCATCTGAATTCAGTTTTCCCCTCCCCCCTCCCACGCGAAGCGCGGAAGCTTTTACGTTTCATTAAATCATTAAAGAAAGAAGACGATTCGTTGTACCGTTCTCGACTCTTAATCCTTGTCTAAATTCAGTTTCCCCCCGCTTCGACGTTTCATTAAATTTTTAGAGAGTGAAGACGATTCGTTGTTCCGCTCTCGAAAATAATTTAGTTTCCCCCACCCGCGCAAAGCGCGGAAGCTTTTACTTTTCATTAAATCATTAGAGAAAGAGGAAGATTCGTCGTACCGTTCTCGACTCTTAATCCTTGTCTAAATCAATTTTCCCCCCCCCTTCCGCGCGAAGCGCGGAAGCTTCGACGTTTCATTAAATTATTATAGAAAGAAGACGATTTGTTGTAGCGTTCCCGAAAATTATCCTCGTCTGAATTAAGTTCCCCCTGCCCTACCCCGCGCGTAGCGCGGAAGCTTTGACGTTTCATTAATTCATTAAGAGAAAGAAGACGATTCGTTGTACCGTTCTCGACTCTTAATCCTTGTCTGAATTTCAAATATGTTCTTTGTCTATTCCCTTTTCTTTCTACGTCCTCTTCCTTTAAACTCCTCTCTTTTTTGGCCGGCGTTTATTGGGGGACCACCCTACCGCCCCCCTGGCTACGCGCCTGCTGTCAGATGAACATATGTTGATACCTTGTCCGCCCCGGAAGCTCAGGGATTTAAGGTTTTAATTTACGGTCAGATTAGCATTCAGGGGTCCGCCTTAGCGCCCTAGACGGGGTCCAGGGGGTAGAGCCCCGGAAGTTCAGGAGTTTAGGCATTTAATTACTGTCAGATGAGCATTATTTTGATACCTAATTGTTACAATGGCAGGTCACTAATTGGCTTAGGGTTCAGGGGGCGGAGCCCCGGAATCTCAAGGGTTTTAGGCACTCAATTACGGTCAGATGAGTATCGAGGGGCCCGCCTTAGGGCTCTTGGTTGGGTCCAGGGGGCAGAGCCCCCAGAAGCTCAGGGGTTTTAGGCGTTTAAATACGGTCAGATGAGCATTTTTGATACCTTATTATTTGTGACACTAGCAGGACACTATTTGGCGTGGGGTCCAGGGGGCAGAGCCCCCAGAAATCATGGGTTTTAGGCATTAAATGACCGTCATATGAGCATCTAAGGGCCCACCTTAGGGCCCTAGGTGGAATCCAGGGGGCAGAGCCCTTAGGATTTTAGGCATTAATTTTAATCATGGTCAGATGAGCATATTTTGATACCCCATTATAATGTGACACTGGCAGTTAACTATTTTTTCTTTCTCGCTCTCTTTCTTTCTATTTTTCTTTAACATACTTTTTCAAAGAAAGTGTGGGGGAGGGGCTCGAGGATCCCGATCCCCGCCGTTCCGCCGGCCCTGATATGTAGGCATCTCAAGAAGCATTTTCTTGCCTGGCTGTAAATTTAGGAATTTGTCATTTTCCAACAAACGCATGAAGTGAGGAAAATTATCTCATTTCAGCATTATTTGTTAACCACCGTTATGGAATTATAAATAAACCACGTTTGAATTCTATTTCTCCAACACCCCCCTCCCCTATCAGTATGCCAGTGCCCCCCCTTCCGATCTACACCTTGTTGGCGGGAAAATTGCATGTGATATCCCTTACCTTTCTTCATTCTCTTTTTTTTCCTTTCCCTTTCTCTCCTCTTTCACTTTCCCTTCCCTTCCTTATCTCTCTTTTAGGTTTGCTGGGGGGGGGGGGGGGGGGGGAGGGGCACGGTCATTTTGGTCCCCAACCCGCTCCACACATTGTGTGCGGGATTAACCGCAACTGATCTCCGCTTCTTTTCTCCCTTTTCTTTTTTTCTTCCTCTTTTTGTTCCCTTTTAGCTCTCCTCTTTTCCTTTTCCTTCCTTCTCTCTTTTTTAGCGGGGACGGGGGGGGGGGGGGGGGAGGCTAGGGTCTTTTGCCCCCCCCCTCGATCCACAACTTTCTGGCGGGAAAATTGCAACTGATATCCCCCTTCTTTTCTTTTCTTCTTCCTATTTTGTCCTTCCCTTTATCTCGTCTTTATCTTTTTTCTTTCCCTTTCGTTCCTTCTCAATTATGTTGATAATCATTCAAATTACAAATATACACAAGCGACCCAAACAGTAATCAATTTACCGACTATAACCGCATACATGTATTCATTCACATCATTCGTCTTTTATTTGTTGTTGTTGGGGACAATTAAGCTCGCAATTAAACAACCATTAATCGTACATAGTCATCTTTATTTCACATTTCATACAGTCGTCACAAAAATTAAAAGGAGGCGTATTAAACCCAACAAAAATAAATCATAATTTATTCTGATCAATATGAACGAGTGTGTTGATTGCCCCCCAAAAACAAAGACGCTCCCACCAGACAAGTTCATGCTGTGATGTAGCCTGTAGCAATGTACATCGCAAAGCTTCCACAATGATTGGAAAGATAATACCCCGCCCGTTACGACGCAAAACGGCGCGAGAAGAATAGATCGCGACGCGAGAAGAATACATCAAGTTTTTACAAACAATGAAATGTTTATCAGAACGAGAACCGGAGGACGGAAAGAAGGCTTTGGCCGACAAATACTTTCTGTATATCAAGTTTAAGCTGTACCGCGCATCACAAGCGAGAACAATGACGGGAGAGATAATCTTCCATCGCCTGGTAGGGCGCGAAAGGGCGCAAGAAGAATAGAGCGGGTTTATACAGTTTTTTTTCATATGCAAGAATCAGGTGAGGGTGACTATTGCGCCCCTTTGCGCCCCTTTGCGCCTCAATGCGCCTCTTGAGACGCGACTGTTCTATTCATGGCGCCACGACGCGTCCGGGCACAGTCGCAACTTTGGAAGGCTCCCCTAAAAACACGGATTATAATTATTATTATTAAACTGATCTTCCTGCAACTTGAATGAGTGTCGCCTTCCGATCACTAATAGTCACACTCTCCTGGTAACGCCACACTAAACTCTCTTTTACCTGTCTTTCCCCCTTCACAGATATCCAGGAGCTGGGAGAAACTCTAAAACGACAGAGGTACCCCAGCTTTCGAGTTTGTGTATTCTCCCCTCTCTTCTGGTTGGTTGTCCTCTGGTTTGGCGCACTTCAACTCAACATTATATTCTTTTTCGGTGCTTTTAATTCTATCATCACAAGACTTGCAGGTGGTGATTTGTCCATTGGTAAGTTGCTGTCGTCTTGCTGTCGTCTTCGTCGTTATCGTCTTTGTCGTCACAGTAGCAGTACAAGCAGCAGCAACACTAGTAGTAGCCTATCCGATATGCGTCGGGCTTTATGGCAAGTGTACTTATCGCGTTATGGAGACAGACATCGGCGCGGGCATCAGCCCGAGCGCCTATCATCACTGGTGGATATTAAAAAGATGAATTTCCTTTTATTTACATTGTTTCGTTCGTAGAAAATCTACGAACCCCCTGTAAAGCTCTTTCATGAATATTTATGTAACATGGACAAAAATAGGCCAATGAGCGTTGAGGAACTTAGGGATGACATTTGATTAGTTGAATAAAAGGGATCGATCACCAAATAAGGCTAGTCTAATGAATCATGCATGAATACGCGCGTCACACAGTTGATGTGAATAATGATGAGTTGACCAGTGATGATAGGCGCTCGGGCTGATGCCCGCGCCGATGTCTGTCTCCATAACACCGTTAGTACACTTGCCATAAAGCCCGACGCATATCGGATAGGCTACACTAGAAGTAGTTGTTTTTGTTGTTGTAGATGTATTAGTTGTAATGTTTCATAGTAGTAGTAGTAGTAGTCAGGGGCGGCGATCCCGGGGGGACGCGGGGGGGGGGGGGGGGCACGTCCCCCCTCGATTTTTGTAGGGGGGATCGTCCCCCCCCCCCGGAAAATTTGAAAAAGTGCAAAAAAATAATGTACAGCAAATACTGACTAAAGACTGTAACACACTATTAGGCTTTGGAGGGCCCAAGAGTGCAGCGTTTAGACAAATAAAAATGCGAAAATCTTCTGGCTCGGGAGCTTTGCTCCCTCGCATAATATCCTTCAAAATGTACAAGTAAATATTGTAGAAAAGGGAAGTGTGAAAACAGTACATTGTTTGTTTTCATACTATAGTTTTGCTAAGGAATATAATTCTGTAATACAACAAAACTTCAAAACCTATGAGGGGGTAATCACTTTCGTCACCTTCACCCCTCTCATTAATTATGCTCACTCACTCGGGCTTGGGGCAGTCCCCCCCCCCCCCCTCCCGATAAAACTCAAACGTGGTTTATTTCTAATTCGATACCAGTGACTAATGTACAAATGTTGCTGCCCCTATACCCCACCAAGGGCCCTAAGGCGGGCCCCTGGTTGCTCAGCTGACCACAATTAAATGCCTAAAACACCTGGGCTTCCGGGGGCTCCGCCCCCTGGACCCCACCAGGGCCCTCGGCGCGACACTGGATGCTCATCTGACCATATTCAAAAGCCTAAAACCGTGAGCTTCCGGAGGCTCCGCCCTTAGACCCCACCAAGGGCCCTAAGGCGGCCCCTGGATGCTCATCTGATCGTAATTTAATGCCTAAAACCGCTGAGCTCCTGGGGGCTTCGCCCCTGGACCCCACTCCGATTAGTGACCTGCATGCAAGTGTCACAAATAAGGTATCAAAATATGCTCATCTGACCCTTATTAAATGCCTAAAAACGCTGAGCTTCATGGGGCTCCGCCCCTGGACCCCACGCCAATTTACGCCCCACTTGCTTTGCTCTATCTGATTGCAAACACTTTAGCCCCCCCCCCCCACTCCCACCTTGAAAAACGTTCCGCGGGGCCTGTATGTAACATGTAAGAGCGGTGATGATGCGGATTTTTTTCTCCCCCCCAAAAAATGTTTTTGCTCATTACGTCACTCTTCCCTCGTTCCTCGCATTTCGTCCCCCCGGTCATGAAAAGAAATCGCCGCCCCTGGTAGTAGTTGTAGTAGTAGTAGTAGTAGTAGTAGTAGTAGTAGTAGAAGAAGTAGGAGTAGTAGTAGTAGTAGTAGTAGTAGTAAGAACAGCAGTAGTAATCATATAAATGAAGTAGAAGTATGAGAACTAGTTGTTGTAGAAGTAATAGTGGAAGGTGTTGTAGTTGTACTTGTACTATTCGTGTTGTAGTAGAAATATTAATGGTAGTAGTTGTAACAATAGTATTAGTAGTAGTGAAGAAAACAGTAGAAGTAGTACTCTGTAAAAAAAGAATTTGTTCATTGGTAATTTTTACGTATTTTTTCCATGTAGAATTTACTTGAAAACATTAGTTTTGCCACTTACGCACTAAATTTAAGTCTTGCTAACTCAAACTTTCAATTTAGTAGAACATACGTGGAATATTTAAGTAAAATCAAATACATAAGAACTTTAAGTAATTTCAGCTTGTATTAATTTAGTAATTTTAACTCAAAATCAGAAATTATACGTATTACTCAAACAATTTATGTTGATTATTCTTATCTTTTTAAAGTAAGGACCGATGCAGTGCGTAATAGAAATATTTACATAATTTATGAATATTCATTAAGACCAAATTAAACTCTTTTTAAATAAAACAATTCTTTTTTGTGGTTGAATGAAAATTTAAGGACTTTAAAACATTTACTAATTCATTTTACATGGCTAAGCAAAGACAAGACAATTTTTAATTGTTACCCAGTTCAAAACAAATCAAAACTTGATTTTTCATGAAATTGTCAACCAATTTTCATTTTAAGATGCTACGATCAAGTATATATAAAATTTGGAGCCTTTCAATATGTGTCGAATTGAAGCGTATGTAATAGTTTGTGATGGTGTTATATATATATATATATATATATATATATATATATACGGTTAAATCTTAAAGTAGTGATAGTGATTAGTGATTAATCTTAAATAGAAGTAGTGAATGATTAGTGGATGTTACTTGTTAGATTAGATTGGTACCAAATCGTGCATTATGTAATCCTATCATAGCTTTTTTTAATTATCTAAAATGATTACAATACTTGAATTATTTACGTTAATGTAACTCGATTTAACTGAGTAAAAATTTATTCAGCAAAATAAGTAAATTCTACTTAAGATGCCGTAGGTAATATTTACTTAATAAAAATAAGGCAATTCTTTTCCTGAATTTTATTGAGTTATTTCGACTATTATTTTTTTACAGTGTAGTAGTAGATGTAGTAGTAGTAGTAGTAGTAGTAGTAGTGGTAGATGTAGTGGTAGTAGTAGTAGTAGTAGTAGTAGCAGTAGTAGTTGTTGTTGTAGTAGTAGTATTAGTAGTACTGGAAGTAGTAGTAGTAGTAGTAGTAGTAGTAGTAGTAGTAGTAGGATAGTAGTAGAACGTCATTAGGAGCAGCTAGACACCCTCTTAATCGAGGCACCCACCCTCACTAATTCATTAGTATATTTAAAAGTATATTTAGATTGTAATATATGCAAAGAAAATCCTTTGATTTTTATAATTATATAGTTAAAGCTATAATGAAATGAACTGCTTTTTTATCATTCTTACAGTAAGTGGCTATACGGATGTGCTTCTGTTACTGCAAACCGTTACTGTGTTTTTAAGCCAACCCTTTGGTTTACTAATGGATCGCAACAAACTCAAATTCTGTCGAAAACAAGGTATAATCGTTATATTTTGTTTTTCTTTCTTTGTTTACTTATTTTTTTATTTAATCATTATAATTGTTATCATTATCATTATAATCATCCTTATCATTAATGCTGTTGTTTATATTATTATAATCATTAGTAGTAGTAGTAGTAGTAGTAGTAGTAGTAGTAGCAATAGAAGTAGTAAAAAGAATATATTTAATTATTATTCATAGCTCGCTATAAAATGAACTATTCTCTACAGGATTTACATCGAAAACATCCATGACTAAAGGATGGACTTTAATGGTTGTATCATATTTTAGTAAATTTCAGAGAAATAGGCATATGTTTATGCTTAATAAACCTACAGGCCCGAATTCACAAAGGAGGTTTGTCGACAAACCTATGTTTATGTGGTTTCTATGACGCACATAAACCTAGGTTGGTCGACAAACCTCCTTTGTGAATTCGGGCCACAGGGTGTATAAACATCATAAGGTGAAAAAGGTAACCTACATGACAGACTCAACTAAGAGTTAGAATTAAGAAAGAGCAGGGTTTACATAATTATGTATTACTTTAAACCCATCATTTAAGACTGTCACAGCTGTTATCAGTATTAATACCATAATGGCATAACATAAAAAAACACATAACAGAAATCAAAATCACCACTATGAAACTTTTTGGTTCAGGTACTAAACGCAGACTGTTTGACGACCTTAAAGATGCATGTCTCCCTCTTGCGTTGACAACCATCGCAACCATTGGTTATTCGGCCTTTCTGGCGGTGCCTCATCTACATGTGCAATATGTGACCTTTACCCTTGTTTTGATCGTCATGTCCGTCTTATGGGGGTACCTTTCAGCTACCACTGCTATCATGTGAGTATCACACGTTTCAATTAAAAATAAATGCTTTGTGTTAGGCATTTCAAGTTGACTGAAACCCTTTCGATATAGAAAAAGGCATTAGAATGTTACAGGAAGCAATTTTCTGTCAAGTATTCTTCGATATCGACCTTATTCTTAAAGACCGTCACCCAGCGAGGTCACTGACAGGTGGCTATCTCATTAACTCAGCTCTCAACTAACATAAGAAAAAGAGGATCATGGGGGACCAACAGGCACCGATCGGGAAGTTTTCTATATAGAGGGAGCAAGTAGCTACAAGTAGGACAGTAGGGGCTTTAAACTTAAGTGGTTACACAAGAAAGGCTCAGATTATCTACGTTTATAGTAATGGCAATTATAACTTGTATCCTTGTTATTTTTCTATCATACGTATTGCTAGTCATAACCATTTGTGTTCGTGTGCCCCACTATACCCCCACCCCAATCCCCCCTCCCCAAATCCCCCTAATTGGAAGCATTATGAAAACCCTGTGAGATTTAAACCAAAATTGCCCATTGAAACGAGCACGATTGTAACGTACATGTGTAAGTGAGTGTTAGAGACGTTCTTGATTCGTTGTCCCAATCCATACTACAGAATCCTAGCTCTTTCCTGACATTGTTTTGAAGTGAAGTAAAATAAAAAACATTAACCCGTTGCCTGCTGGAACCGAGTGTTTCCTGTAATAAGCCTCTGGGAATTATAGAATTTAGTAGTAAACGGGTTTAAAATCTTTACATTTTGCTCTCCGTGTCAGATTCCCGATGAAGATCTTTTCAACTCTTGCTGGGGCTTTTCGGTCGATCGGAGGAATCATCATTTTCCTGCAGTATCCTCTTTTCCGGTTAATACAGAACAGCCTACACAACGATCCTTTCTATGTAAGTATATGATCACAAGAGGGCCATTTCTAATTGAATTGTTACATAAGGAGTATCAAGAGTTTCGCATGGTCTCTGCCTTTATCTTTTCTATCTGTCCGCAAACATTTGTGCATTACTTTGAAATTCGCCTAAACATTGGTAAATAGATAGAAATTATAAATATTTCTTTCCCTTCTTCTTTTTTGTTTTTGACACGTTGGAAAAAAAGTTTTGGAACATCTGTCATCACATTTCAAAATCTGTTACCAATATTCGCACTTGTCAGTAAAAATTGATTCAACCCCCGACATTTAAAATCATCTTGCGACGCCCGTGTTCAAGTTGTTATCTTACTTCCGTGCTATGATCATATCGTTATATTACGAATTGGCTGTTTATGTGAGCACAACAAATATCCGTGTCAGATATACATATTATATAAATAAATTAAACGAAACTTCGCACATCCTATCTCTACATTTCCATCCTTCCTTGTTTTTAATGCAGGTGATAATGGGTCTGATAGTTGCTGATATCACAACGTTCTCGCTTCCGATCTACATTTGGTACTTCGTCAAGAAAGAGGCTGACATCGGCCGCATATCCGCCGTTAAACCTGTTAATGTTTAGGTCTTGAAGAAGGTAATCTCTTTTGCACAATCCATTATTGTATGGCCTCCAGATGATGATGGCTTTGATAATTGCCTTCATAACAACAATTGCTCTTCCGATCTCCATTTTTGATACTTAATCTGGAAGCAGATGAATCCGCCGATGAATCCGCCGATGAATCCGCCGATGAATCCGCCGATGAATCCGCCGATGAATCCGCCGATGAATCCGTTAATGTGTTTGGGCTGAATCCTTTAATGTGTTTGGTCTGGAGGACGTGCATGTATCGAATTTGCAGTCCTTAATGTAATTGTAAGTTGGTTTTAAATAGAGAGAGAGAGAGAGAGAGAGAGAGAAAGTGGGATGCTTGATGTTCCGAGCAGGTTGACTGTTTGTCATTCCAAAAGCAGTCCTCTGTTACTCTAATATTTGTCCACATAGTATAATTAAAAAAAAAAAATATTTAGAAAGCTCACAACTAGGTGTTTTTTCGTTTTCAGTAGGCATCCGGGTGTCTTTAAGACGGCAATTATAATGAAAGTGTTTGAAATCAGGGAAACATTTGTCTTCCTGCATACCGGAATAACTTACTGGACACGGGAACGCATCTATTGAGCTATCCAGAGCCATCGATATACAGAGTTTGGCCAACCCGGTGGTATTTCAGCTTAATATTGCGGCGACTGCTTTGTTTGGCAAGCACAATATGATATGCGCCATGTTGTGAGCAACTGAAACCAAGATGGGCAAACTCTGTGTAGGGCTTTTTCTGTATAACAAAACACGAGAACATAAAAATAATGATATATAGATATGGAAAATGGTAACAGAGTGTAAAATTTAATAGCGTATATATATATATGGGTATATATATATATATATATATATGTATATATATATATTTATTTTTTAAATATATATCTTATTACATTAAACTGAGATTAAAGAGAAGGTTGAGTTCTGGGAAGAGGTGAAAAATAATTTGTGAGCATTACTCATTCTTATTATGCAAGTGTGGAAGAACATCAGTTAAGACATGTTCCCTCAAAAGCTTGGCTCTTCAAATGCCTTCATATTATTCTAAATATGCATGTAACATCGTAAAAATCGGGGGGGGGGGGGGGTCGGCTTTTTACGCCACGTGTTCGTGTAGTCCCATATACATCTTTCTGTGCAAGTGTTTGTAACTTAACCAAGACTTAGCCACATTTCTTATCATTTTGATGATTCCAGAACCTTGCAATACACACAATTCTTATATGCTAGATGATCAACCTTTTAAGATCGATTCCACACCGTTTCTTTCACAATGCAATCGCATGACCAGAACTCAACTTCATCTTTAATGTTCATAATGAATGTTGCACAAGTACGGGAAGGAATGGTTTAATTCATATATATATATATAATTATGATAGTAGTAATTATTACTTTTGTATATATTATTATTACTAAAATTGTGATTGTTTTGAAATTTGATATCTTATTTTTTACAACATTTGCAAGACTATATATATATATATATATATATATATATATATATATACAGTTGGGAAAATTAAATGGCTGGGAGAATTTACTGTTAGAGGGTGTCGCAGGATTTTTTTCTCAGGATTTTGTGCATCTTAGTGGGTAACATTTCATACACAAATTATGCAGATTTTTCACCATCCTTCAACAATGTTACCGAGTCACTGAACGATCCATAATGAAAATTTGAGAATAAATGTCTTTCTTTTTTAAATATTTGAATTTTGCACAAGTACGGGAAGGAATGGTTTAATTCATATATATATATATATATATATATATATATATATATATATATATATATATATATAATTATAATCATGATAGTAGTAATTATTACTATTGTATATATTATTATTACTAAAATTGTGATTGTTTTGAAAATTGATATCTTATTTTTTTACAACATTTGCAAGACTATATTTCGATACACATATTTTTCGTGTACTTTTAAAATTTACAAAGCACGATTGAAAAGAGTTTTTATGCCCATGTGTATATTACTATATTTATAAATATTTGTTTTTTATCAATTCCTGAATGTGATATGATATTATTTCCATAAAATGGAAGCTTTTATTACCAATCCTGTGAAAGAATATGTTTTGACTAATACGTGATCATACAAATTTTGCCGAGAAACCGCCTACTAATATTATTGATATATTTGCTAAATTATTATATCTATTTGGACCTGATAGATATAACGCACGTGTCGCGTAGTCCCATATACATCTTTCTGTGTACAGTGCCTGTAACTTTACCAAGACTGGGCCAAATTTCTTATCATTTTGATGATTCCAGAACCTTGCAGTACACACCAATACTTATATGCTAGATAATACAATTTTCTGATCGATTCCACAACGTTTCTTCCACAATGCAATCGCATGACCATAACTGGTCTTTATCTTTGAGATATTGCTGATTTCATTCAGGCTTATATGTTGCCTTATATATTAAGAACAAGTGCAGTATAATGTCAATATATCATTGACGCTTTTGTTAGAGAGACTTGGTAACATTGTTCAGATCAGAGAAAATGGTGCCAAGGTAGTGACTTCAATGCTAGGTGTACAATTAAAGTTAATCTGAAAGTTTGAGCGAGAACAGACCTTTATTAATGATAAAAACTGAAGAAAACAGATCTGATCGGTTCCTTAATTATCCAAAATATATTAATACAATTTAATTACATTTTGGGTGAATGTAAATCGTCACAAAGCAACGAATTGGCTATATATACCATTTCTGACATAAGAGTTTCGATGGATTTTTTAAAGCCTGTCTTATGTCCCTTTTTCATGGAACTACAGTTGGGAAAATTAAATGGCTGGGAGAATTTACTGTAAGAGGGTGTCGCACAGTGACTCCTTCCAAGAAAACCAAAAATATCTTTGTGGTTTGAGATTTTTTTTCAGGATTTTGTGCATGTTAGTGGGTAACATTTCATACACATTTTACGCAGTTTCTTCATCATCCTTCAACAATGTTACCGAGTCACTGAACGATCCATAATGAAAATTTGAGAATAAATGTCTTTCTTTTTTAAATATTTGAAGGAATGAACTACTCAGGGGTTATAATTATACAGGGTCTGTGTGTATTAAGCAGAGATAATACATGTATATTTTCATCGATTGATATTAATGTATATTTAATTTTAAGTATAAACCATCAGTATACTACAGGGTAATAATCTTCGTGTGAACATGTACAACATTGATTATGCCACGTCTGAATAACTGTTACAAACGCATACCATATATATATAAGATAATGTTTTGCGACGGAGGAAATATCTGACATGGACTAAACAATACTATGAAAGGAACCGTGCAAACGAATGAACAAATATTTTGCCTATAGGGCCTCCTTATGTTATGTGGGTGTGTGTTTTTGTGTGAAACGAAGGATTTTGAGGGAAATTCAATCTTGTTGGCAAATTACTCTAGAGGAAAGCAGAAAATTCAGAAAAGTTCACAGGTGAAGGTTGGGAGGAAATCGGACACAAATTTAAAAGTTATTAAAAAAAAAAAAGTTGTAATCACCATAGGTATGGGCTCGTCAAAAGGCTGAATCAGTAAATTAATGTTTCTGTGATCTAGTGCCGGAAAACTTTCTCATTTGTTTTCAACACACACAATCACTTAAATTTCAATCTTTCAAAAATGTACGATTGAGGAGGGTTATTTTTCTTTAGAGGGAACTATAATAATATGCTATCCATAATATATTTTGAGTAGGGAGAAGGGAGAGGGTACTTGGGAGAAAAACATCAATTCATGACATTTTTGTACGGGAGAGTTATCAACGATTACGTCACATTCCACTGACCAAACTACCAATTTGAGATTAGTGATCTCATAGTTCAAGCATTCATAACCTCTCTGTTATAGAGACTTGGAAAGCGCTTTATAAGCACCGTTTTATTATTATTATTATTATAGGTCCGATTTATTTCAAACTTTCTCCATTCTGTTCGTATATTTTTCTGCTTTCATACTACTTATTACCAGGGTTGGATAGACAGTGTGTGTGTGTGTGTGTGTGTGTGTGTGTGTGTGTGTATTGGGTTTTTACAGACGTGTATCAATCAGATATGATTATTTACGTCTTGGACCGACCTTTAAACGTCACCATCCGAAAGACGTGACTCAGTTTCGAACCTGCGTCCTCGGCTGAATCAGTTTGTAACTTCCACTTTTCAGCTGGATTACAGGCGCACGCCACAACGCCTAGTGGATAGACACCAACCTTTTCTGATATTTATTGAGTAAAATTAAATATTTGCGCATGTAACCTATTTATAAAAGCGGAAATTGTTAGCCATTTGTATGTGACTTGAATGAATTTACTTCATATGCGAATGTAGCTCATATAATATAGAATTTTTCAGTAGATCACCAGGTTCAAGGCGAAGTAATAGCATTAAAGAAAATGCCGTGAGAATTTGATTAAAATCAAAAGTGATAAGGATCGATATATCTTTGGAATAATGAAATTTTTCCGATAAAGAAAGGATGTAATTACCATTAATAAAGAAAAACTATAACACAAACTTAACGTGTGTAATAAAATTAGAAAGAGAAGCAATGTATAACAGGGTCTCGGTGAATTTGTCACAAAGTACTATATAAGCCATCGATTTATAATCGAATATATTTAGATTTTACACGATTCATTTTAAATGGTCACAATATTGACGTTTGTTACGATGTTCTATTTTTTAAAAGCAATGGTTATTATGAAGTATATGAAAATTATTTGAATATATAATATTCCAATTGATTAATTATTTGTCTCTTCGTTTTTTGTGGATGTGCACTGAGTGTTTGCTTTGTAAATACATGTGTATTATGATATGATAGTAGTCGATTCCTTTCATGAAATATCATTTACAAGATAATCTTGAGGTTTGTTGGTGAGATTTTGTATTTGAATACTTGTCACCGAATCAGACGGATATAATCCTGAATGAAAGAGAATTTGAATAAACCATTAGATGATCAGGAACGAGTTATGGCTGATAAAAGAGAGAAAAAAAAGATAAAGGAAATCGAGCTTGTATAGTACGGAACAACGGGACTATTCATTTTTTATTTTTTAATAGGCAGCCTTTTAAGATGCTTCTTGAGATTTTCATTAGTTACTTGCCACATGCAACACATCTTATGCATGTCAATCAATTAAGAATTGTTTCATGCCAATTTCTGTTTTGGAACTGCATTTATTACCATAAACACCAATCTTAAGATAAGCCATTTTATTAAAAAAAGGAAAAGAAGAAAAGAAAATGAAGTACAAGCCAGCGCACAGTGGGCCAGGGAGGAACCAAAGTGTGCCAAAACTAATTTCTGGGGATTTATTTTCTATAAATCCATAGGAAATGTTTGGATGTCCAGGGATTTCCGCTTAAATGGTATTACCAACATTTTCTCTGATATCTAAGCTTTAAAGGTCCACTACACTACTTGTAGGTACTTGCGCCCTCTTACAACAAACAATGCCTAATCGGTGACCATTGGTCCCCCATGATGCTCTTTTTCTTATGTTAACTGAGAGCTGAGTTGATGAGATAACCACCTGTCCAGTGACCTTGCAGGGCGCTCTAATCCCTCCTGTAAACTATGGCAGATAAGCTTTAAGTTGATACCAGATTTGGCTGCCCGATTGTGCCCGTTATTATGTTAGAGCCGTTTTGCTTGCAACATTGCCCCGAAAAATGT